GGGTGGGGGGGGGGGTGGGGGGGGGGGGAGAGGTGACAAATCCCAAAGAGACATGTGACCATCACAGTGTCCTCTCCCCTTGGCAGCGGAGCAGCTCACGGAAAGAACCTCAGATGCCAGAGTGACGATGTCCCTGTGCACCACCTGCTGGAGGACACACGCACATGCACAGAAATGTACCAGCCCCTTCCTCGTACCTGCGGCCACGTCCAGATGGGGACGGATGGCGGCCGTCTCGCCTATTTATGCGTCGTTTCCGAGTGTCATGGGCTGGTAACGCGTTTGATGCCCCTATTCGAAGTCATTACTCAATCACGCCGGCGTACACGCTCTGATAACCAGAGCTGCTGAAATATCTGGGCACAAACATCACATTTTACACTTAAATGCATCTAGACGGCCAGCAGCAAGGTGGCCAAGTGAACCCTGCCTCGTGCCCTCGAGATTATCCATACATGTACTGGGAGTGATCCCACTGCTGAACTGGATTAGTAAACATACGCTATATAAATGGGTAACACGCTGTCAATGGGCTTCGATAAATGTCAGAGATAAACACAGAATGGCATGAAACTGGAAGCTAGTGAATAACTAATGGCAATTTCCTGCTGTTACTATCAGATCCCCGGCAGGCCACATCCTCCGAATCAGCCCACATCTCCTTCCGTGCAACGGCACAAACCGGTTTACTCCTGTCTTGTCCCGGCAGAAAAGCATTGTGGGAGGTCAGCTAGAGACTCGCCGAATGGCTACCTGCCTTATCAGCTCTGCCACTCCAGCTCAGCAGATGCTGGGAGGCAGGAGAAGGTGGCTGGTTCCTGCGGAGGAGAATACTAATGCCGCTCTTATTCCTGGACCTGTGCCACGACCATCCCCGTAGTAAGAACCTTCTGTCTGGACCAAAAGCTTCTGTCTCGGTCAGATCCATCTGTCCCTTCCAGAATCTCCTGCCTGCGCGAGAACCCCCAAACCCTCAAGGCAAAAATGTTCTATCTGGGCCTGGACCTACAGCTCCTACTGTAGATCCTCCTGATAATCTATAAGCCCCCCATCCATCTCTGCAGAAACTCCCATCTGGACCAGAACACCCCCTCATCATTCAATTCCTGTCTGTACCAGAGGTAAATAGCTCAGGTCCAGAAAGCAAAAATCCAGACCAAAATTTTGTTTCAACCAACCAGTCGAGCATAAACAGTCACGGTGTACAAAACTGGTTGGTTGAAACAAAACCTTGGCCTGGATTTTTACTTTCTGGACCTGTGCTATCCACCTTAACTCGCTCTTACCCGGTTATAATTATCTCTGGGTAGCTTTGTGTTCCCAGGCCCCAGTTTCCACCACTTATAGGCCATTCCTGCAAAAAAAAAGAGAGTGAGAAAGGAACACGGAGTTAGAAACGTCAGACTGAAGCCGAGAGAGAGAAAAAAACCAATGAGAGTCATTAGCTGGCTATTTCCGTCGCATGGGGGCGTTTGATACGCATACGGCCAGCTCACAGAAGCCCCCACCTGTCTATTCACATGACAACCGGCACAACATTAGTCGGGTTTTATTACGGATACAGCAAGAACTCCGCGACACATCTCTAATTATCTCCGGCATCGTCTGCAGGCTTCCATCAGGAGGCCCGCGAGCCGCAATCGACGGCCACACGTGTTAATGGGCTTTTCCGTCCTCTGTGGCCAACGTTTAACAGATTCGCTACTAATTTCTTAACAAAAAATGGAAATATTATCTCTGGTGGTTTTTTGATTCAAAGTTTTTTCTTGCAGAGTAATATTTTCCGAGTGCTGGCGGCAGACATGGTTTGGGTTTGGGGCTTCTGTCGTCTCGCAAGACCGCACACATAATGCCCCCCCCCTCCCCCCAGCGACGCACTTCCCCCACAGCAGGACTCACAGGTAAATGCCGGAGTGAACAGGCCCTTCGCTTCAATGGCTGCCCCCCCCCCCCCCAACGCACAACAGAACACGCTAACCGACTAAAATATCATGCAAGTCACACCAACTGAACGTCAAGCTGATCTGTGGCCACGGTGACGGGCAGCAGTTCACCCCGTCCTGGGGGTCTCGTTCAGCGGGACCTTGCTAGCCTCTCTGGGCAATTTTCTAAATGTCACGGGCAGCGTGGGTCAGCCCCCTTAGCTCTGGAAGCCTGGCACCCGGCTGATGCGCTGGCAGCCTTGTTCTGAAAGCCTCGCTAACACGCTAACACGCTAACAGCGACAGACTCTTCGACCGAATATCCCCGCATCTAACATAGGTGTCATCAAGGGTGCCATCTTTCGAAGGGGGTGCCAAGTTAGGAACCACCTCCTGCAAGCTTCATTGCCCCCCCCCCAGCATGAAAAGCATGTCTGAAACAAAGGGGAATGGGGCAGTTGAATCTTGCGATGTAGGCTAGGTGGGGGGTGGGTGCTGATCGTGAAGCTGCCTACAGTATGGGTTTTGTTTGGCACTGCTTATACCTACAAGCCTCTAAAGCAAGGGCGTCAAACTGCAGTCCTGGGGGGCCGGAGCCCTGTGTAGCTTAGTTCTTTCCTATTCTACCACAAATGATTCAGCTCAAGAGCTGTGTGGCAATTAGCACAAGGAGTTGAATCAGGTGTGTTAAACAAAGGTAAACCAAAAACTGTGCAGGGCTCTGGCTCTCCAGGACTGAAGTTTGACACCCCTGCTCTAAACCAATGTTTCTCAATCCAGTCCTCGGGGATCCCAAGACGGTCCCTGTTTTTGCTCCCCCCTAATTGCCTGGGAGCTGGGAGGGAGCAAAAACGTGGTTATGGTTCCCTGAGGACTGCTTTGAGAAACACTGCACCAGCTGCTAAGTTTAAGGGCCAAGGGCACAACAGATTAAACTGCCGGTTATTTACACACGTTCTCATCACCACATTCATCGGCGCTCATTTTTGTTACGTGCTTTTTTGTGTTATTTTAGGTGATTCGATGTCATTTATTGTCTCCACTATGGCTTGGGTTGTCATCGTTGCCTGATGCTGCTTACTGTTGATGTCAGTTATCGTCTGCTGACTGACAATCTGTGGGAGGCGGGTCACTGAGCATCTCATCACACTGTGTACGTACGACAATACGCGGGGAACCCTGACCCGTGAACTTCACACTTATTTGCAGGCTGGAATGCTGGCCTTGGATCTCCCCGTCTAAAGTGGGGTAGGGGGAAGGCGGGGGGGGCACCTTTTTACTATAGCCTTGTCGCTTCTGTCGGGCGCCAACGGAGTAAAGTGCAGGGATGATGTCCACGGGACAGTCAGCGAAGTATTCACAGCAGGTCACCGGGGACTCGTGGATGGCTAGCGGGTACGGATTCTCGAAAATTGGGTAACTGGAGGAAAGGGGGGTGGGACATGGCGATAGGAACTAGGTTACAATCAGGAGCAGGCAGCCCTCAGGCGCACACGTGTGAAGGAGAGCTGTGTGAAGCCAGATCGTTAATGACGGACACAGGCTCGTCTTAAATATGTTTTATGCAGCCTTTCAAGGAGATTTAAACGTAACGATTGCTTTACCCTCCGCCGCTACCATTTCCTGGGCTGGTTTTATGGTTAGTCACACCCGAGGTACGGTTTCATAAAATCCGTAAATATGAATAAATGTTCAGACCTACCCATTCTGGGCGAGATCGATCACTACCAAGTCCTTTTCTAGAAGGACCACTACTGCATACGGTTCCTGGAAATCTGCGGAGAGCGAAAGAGAGAGAGAGAGGTAGAGGGAGAGAAAGAGAGAGAGAGAGAGAGAGAGAGAAAGAGAGAGGGAAAGAGACAGGGGCAGAGATGGCGAGGGGGAGAGAAAGGAGGAGAGAAGGGGAGAGAGAGAAAGACAGGGAGTGAAATGGAGAAAGAGAGAGAAGGAGAGAGAGACAGCATGAGAGAGAAGGAGAGAGAGATGGGGAGAGAAGGAGAGAGAGATGGGAAGAGAAGGAGTTAAAAGTTAATATCATTCAACGTGGGGGTGAGATCACATGCACAGTGAGTCTCAGAGCTGATCCAGCAAAAAAATGACACACTTTGGCAGGCCAACATTAACACCCAGGCGTGTACATAACCGGACCACGCACACAGCCGGACTCCGCACAGACATACCGTCATCCTGCAGGGGGAGGGGGAGATCGAGAGCGGCCCGAGACGCAGGCCCCGGCTCCGCCGCGAATCACCCCCTCCCCCAGTGCGTTTGCATGCGAGCCGCCAGGAGCCCTGAGGAAGCAGGACCCGGCGGGAAGGGCACATGGGCGACCTCGGCAGTCGCTAACCATCAGTGTCTCATTTCCTCTGCGGTGTGCAGTCTCAGCTTCACATCAGGGGCTCGCCAGGACGGGTGTGCGCGTGTGTGTGCGTGTGCGCGAGTGTGTGCGTGCGCGTGCGGCCCGAGGGCGAGGCATCAGCGAAATCGCTCGCAAACGAGCTTCCCGCCTGCGTCTCGTGTGACATCTTAAGGGCACAGACACGCAAATCAACCCTTAAAACGTAATAATAATTAAGCTACTGCTTCAAATAATAGCCTGCCGCTCTAGTCAAGAAAACGACGTAACAGAGGGACCCCGTGCAAGCGCGGGAGGGAAAACAAGACGAATAAGCTGGATTCAGCCGGGGTCAGGATGCCGAGAGCTGAAAATCGGATTCTCTGTGAACAGCGGCTGTGGTCACGTGACCCAGTGGCGAAGCCACGCCTCCAGCGATAACAGTGTCCTGACCTCACTGCCTGCAGTGCCTTCACTGAGTGATGTGTAAGAGCTCAGCTGCAGAAACACGACCATCAGCTACTGGTCTGTCCTACTCTGACCCCCCAGGAGAACGCTGCCTCTTCACACAAAGTAATCTTGAGTGGTAAAACACTGCACCCCACCCTCGTCCACAGAAATACATTATGGAGTAGCATCTCAGTTCATGTGTAAATAATATGCATTTTAAATATACAGCAATTAATAAAAATGAACACGTAGAAACATTAATAGGTAATGTAGCGGCACTATGCCTCCGAGGTTTGATTCCTCCAACTGCAGCCTTATCCCAAATATCAGAGGCAGTATGAGCATCTCCAGCCCAAACATCGCAGGGACCTGCAGTTTCCTGGCCAGCTTCCATGCAGCGGCTTAGAGCTCAGTCAGTATCTGCCTGGCTGTTCCAGGCTAAAGCTTGTGCAGGAACACCTGACTACTGCAAGGAAGCATGGGACTGGAATACGGCAGGGTGGGTGGGGGCTCACCGTTGGGATAGGGCGTCTCGCACAGCGTCAGGAAGTCCACGATGGGGTGGTCCATCTCCAGCACCGCCGTACTCTTGCCGTGCATCACCGTGAGACACGGCCGCCTGCCCACCGTGTCGTAGGACAGGCCCCCAGAAAGGATCATGTAGGGGTCTCTGGAGAGCACGGAAACAGAGCACGCTCAGAGATACCGAAGGGGCCCATTGTCGGGGCCATCAGACACAGGAGGCATCCAGTTCAGATGCTGAGCCAAAACAGAGTGGGATTCTGAGGCAGAGCCAAAGACGGCCAAGGACACCGCGAGCGGAAATCTCTCAGCTACGGCCAGCGGTAAACGCTGCTAATCTCACCGCTCCTTCCTGCACAGCTGCCCCCTCGTCCAAACGGCAGCGAACAAAATAAATGTCTAGCATATTTATGTAAACTAATAAAGCGACAGGTCTGCTGTATGCTTAGGAGGCCCTAGGGCAGTAATGTTTATTTCCCCAAAGTTCCCGGCCCATTACTACCGAAACCAAAACAGGGAAGTGGAATCTCACGCAGTTCACGGAAAACGTAAGGATGTCTGGGAAAAAAAGTTACAGTTTACTGCGAGATCGTATGACGCTTTTTGACAACAAGCAATGGTGCAGAGAGATAAATTCCACCATGTACAAATTCCAGCTCCATTTGCATCGACTGCCCCGAAACCGATAGATTCTCCATGTGTCAAACACGTGTCAAATTAATGGTCCAGCGTTCGCTGGCTTCATAGCAGCTACTCAGTTACGAGCCGCTGATGGTGAGCCATAGCTGGTAATGGGGTACGCTCCTGATAGCTTGTGTCATTCATCTCCATGACACGCGGCGTCCGCTCTCTCAATGCCGCTCATCATGATAAGACAGTGCATGTGTGTCACTCCATGTCAAGAAGCTTCCCCGAGTCAGACAAACGCCCCGCCCCCTTCCACTGATTGCCCTCCTTGACGGATAGTTACCTGTCACATCTCTGCTTTGTTTGGCTCGTTAATGATTTACTTAATAGCCGTTAATATTTCTCAGCCGCTGCCCCTACTTGAACTGCACTGGTATTCCACCTACACATTCAGCTGGATAATTTACTGGGGGGGGGGCTTCTTACTGGGTGGCACGGTGGCTCACTGATTAGCATGATGCCCTCAGGCTTTCAGGGTTGGGGGTTTGAAGCCCCCCTACTCAGTGTGTGTGGATTTTGCATGTTCTCCCCAGGTCTCTTCCTGGTCCTCCAGTTTCTCCCATGCATTCAGGCTAATTGGAATCTCAGAAGTTCCCTGGGTGTATGACTCTGTATGGGACGCACTCCAGAAGCACCATACCTCTATGTGACCCTGCCCAGACTAGAAGACTGATGCCTATCATGGACATCTGGGGGCAGCACAGGCACCTCGTGGTGCCTCAGAAAGTAAGAAAGAGGAGTTTCTTAGAGCCAGTAGAATATCCAGCAAGCTTGTCAACATGAGCGGCCCTGGACACACAGTTAAGCCCACAACACGCTGGTGTTGGGTTTTCCCAGGCAAGAGGCTGCCCTTCACACCATGACTGCTGCTGAGCCACAAAGGCCGTGATGGAGGTACGGGGTGGCGGGGGGTCACCCTTACCCGGCTCTGGTCGTCTTGTATTCCACCTTTAGAATGGGTTTGCATGGTTCTGGCTTCTTGCCATCCTTGGGCTGTTTTCCTGAAATAGAACAATTCCAGAACCGCTCAGCACGAGGTGGGTGGGGGGGGCATAACAGCTGACCATCCCACGCAGCTCACATCAAGCCTACAGTCTGCTTCGGCCCCCAGGCCTCTCTGCCCACTCTGCCTTCTACCCCAGCAGTAGGGGGCGCCGCCCAGCACCACACATCTGAGTGCTCTCCGTCTCGGCTGCTGAATCCCCCCCCCCCCGCTCCTTCATTGTCATCCTTTCCTCTTATGTAATCCCCCCCCCCCCCCCCATTATGGCTCATCATGCCGCATCCATTCTCCCTCAGACCACCTCCCATCGGAGGATCTGCTCTCCATCTGTATTTACTGAGTGTTTCCACAACAATAAAAACACAATAAATATATCACACAAAATCCAAGTTTAAAACCACTGAGACACAGAGAGCGAAAGATATTGACATAAAATCTTAAAACACACAGGCAGGCAGTAGAATATGCAAAAGAATTTAAGAAATGCATATAAACCCTTTAAAATTAATATTCATGAACATTCAATGATTTGATACACAGGTTTAACAAATGAAAACCAGCTGTGATTCTGCTGGAATTGAGTGAAATATGTCTAAGCAGTGCTGGGGGCATCTGCCCCCCCCCAACGCCTTACAGCAAAGCTTTGCCTTTGCAACACAAGCTGCCAATTTCCTGCCTGGCATCTGATGTGTGCTTTATTCAAGCCCTTCCGTGACAGAGCGCCCCTCATCTCCAAGCGCAGCAGGCAGACATACAACAGCACAACCTCCTTTCTGAGTTGTGGAGCCACTTACACCGTATAAAAAAATCTATCCCTCATTTTCATACACTCCCAGCACCTATACAAAATGGCTTCAAAAGAAACTCTCAGGTGATCCGCCTACTTCATCACATCGCAAATCAGCTACAGCCGTGTGAGGAGGCTATGCCCCGATTGGAGGACTGACACGCCACTCATCACTGACCTGACTATGTGCCAGGTGCCCCTTTCTTACATGATGGACAGAGCCGGAATTCAGTCAGACAAACTCGGATCGGTCACAAAGGATGTGGCTTAACACAGCTTAACAAAGCAAACGTCAACTTAAATAAAAACTGAACGTACTGGCTGACTATTGGTGACACCGCTGTCACGCATGAGGACACAGACAAATGCAAAGTCAGCGTAGGTGGGTATTGCCTCGGATTACCCCCGGACATGTTATCACACATAAACATGCACGTGTACAAACACAGAGACAGACAGACTGAACACGGGGAAAGGGGATGGCCGCGGGGACCGTCACGACTCACCGTGAGGGGTGATTGTCTGCACGGGTTTGCCGGGTGACTTGACGTTCCATATGGTGAGCGTGCCGTCCGAGTGGCTGCAGATGAACTGCTTCCCTTCGTGGTGCCAGGCCAGCGAGTGGATGGCCTGGCAAGGACACACACACACATCAATGCTGAATACGAAGCTTCGCTATGGCACAGCGACCCATCAAATTGGCAGGGACCGTCAACGATTTTACACTGCGGCTATGAAACCAAGCTGATATGGACATCAGAGGGCGCAATGGCTGATGTGCTCCTTAAGAACTGCACTTATAACTGGAAAAAGCCCAATGACGACAGATAGATCCGAGACTCAGACATGTACCCTGCCAATTACTGTTGCTGTGTAGATCAGTATACATCAGTAGTAAAGTTGCTGCTCCTCCACATCGAAAGGAGCCGGCTGAGTTGGTTCAGACACCTACCTCGGTGAAAAATTAGCAGGCCCAAGCACATAAACCAATCAGCCGTGACTTTAAAATCACCTGACTTGTATTGTGTAGGTCCCACTTGTGCTGCCAAAATAGCTGTGACCTGTCAAGACATGGACTCCACAAGACCTCTGAAGGTGTCCTGTGGTATCTGGCACCAAGATGTTAACAGCAGGTCCTTTAAGTCCTGTAAGGTGTGAGGTGGTGCCTCCATGGATTGCACTTGTTTGTCTAGCAAATCCCTCAGCTCTATCGGATCGAGATCTTGGGAATTTGGAGACCAAACCAACTCCCTGAATTCTTCTTCATGTTCCTCAAACCATTGCTGGACAATTTTCGGAGCGCAGTAGGATGGCTGAAAGAGGCCACTGCCATCGGGGAATACCATTGCCATGGAGGGGTGTACTTGGTCTGCAACAATGTTTAGGTAGGTGGTACGTGTCAAAGTAACATCCACATGAGTGCCAGGACCCAAGATTTCCCAGTAGATAATTTCTCAGAGCATCACACTGCTTCCGCCAGCTTGCCATCTTCTCATATTGCATCCCAGTTCCATCTCTTCCACAGGTACAATGCAAACAACGAACCCATACCCAGCCATCCACAGGATGCAACAGATAATGTAACTCATCAGACTAGGTCAACTTCTTCCATTACTCCATGGTCCAGATCTGACGCCCATGGATCCATTTTAAGGGCTTCAGCAGTAGCAGCATGTGCAGCTAGCAGCTAGCATAGCTAGCATGAACTTTTTTAGCAATTTGTGCAACAGTAGCTCTCCTTATGAGATCGGACCAGATGGACTAACCTTCACTCCCCAAGCGCATCACATGAGCCTTGGGCGCCCATGATGCCATTGCCAGTTTACCGGTTGGCTTTCCTTGAACCATTTTTGGTAGGTACCGACCACTGCATACTGGAAACACCCTGCAAGATCTACTGTTTTGGAGATGCTCTGACCCAGTTGTGTAGTCATCACAATTTGGCCCAGATACCTTAGATCCTTCTGCTTGCCCATTTTTCCAGCTTCCAACACATCAACTTCAAGAACTCACTGTTCACTTGCTTATTATGTAATTGTAACGAGGTAATCCACGTTACTCATATTACCTGTCATTGGTTTCAATGTTACGGCTGATTGGCGTACGTGTGCATTACGAAAAATGTCTCTAAAACCCTGCTCATTAATGTTAGGTAAGCAGAAAAATAAATATAACAATAATAATAATTATTATAATAAATACCAGCCAGAAAGTCCCACAGGCAAACTGCATAGGTGTCCTGGCATCTTTCCTGCTTCTTTCCCCTAATCCACACAGTTTAGATGGATCTCCAGCCTGCTCTGGAGACTCACCCTTTTGAAGAAAATAAATCAGGAACCACCTGGCGACCCACTACAAGGGGTGGATCTGCACCTGAGGCAGGTTCTGCACCGCCCCCAGGCTCCTGTCTGTAGTCACATTATTCCTCTGCCATAATTAAAGCACATCCAATTTCCCTTCCTTTTCCAAGCTCTGGGCTGCCCACAGAGAAAACTCTTAACTATTGCCCCTCCCTTTGAGGGACGAATGCGTGTCTGTACCCAGGCTGAGGGGGGTGTCTATGTCGAGGGAGGGATGCTGGGGTGTCGGGGTGAAATTCGGGTCTCATTATTTTTTAATAGCGAGCCTCCCCCCGCTCTACCTAATCCAAGGAACTGTGTTTCTATTTTAAGCAGAGAGGACGAGATGTACGAGCCAAACAACAAATCAATGGTAGGGCTGGCACATTATTAACAAAGCGAGCAGGGAAAGACAAGCTTTCTCATCTACGCCATGTTGCCGCTGATTAAAACGCACAGCGGCTATAAATAAGCCGAGGCGTGCAGATCACCTTCCCCGACGACACCGACAATGTGGATTTTCAGCACACGCCTCTAGGTGGTACAAGGTCAAAGGTGAAGTGTTCAACCAGAGAGCCTGGAAGGCCCCTTCATACCACAGCTAAACTGCCAGAATTTCAGCTCTGCTTAGTTAATTCACACCACGTTCATGTGTGTCACGAGGTCCAGCTTGAGTCTTAACAGACACTAAGAAAGACATTTCCATTCAACATGTATTCGATATTCAACATGTCGACACATATTTTACATGTAACATTTCAGAAGTCATACCTCCTTTGAGGATATTCTCAAGTATGTTATTAAGAACGACGTTTCGATATAACAAGGGTACTAATTGGAATATGTGACTGTTTTGAGCATTAGCTGATAAATAGCGCACTCCGGTCTGAGCCCAGTAAAATGTTCTTCAGAGAATCGCAGTCAGCCTAGTGCTACCATAGTAAAACGCAGATGACGAAGGCAACAAAGTAGAGTCCAAATGGCATTCAGATTAACAGAAAAAAAACCCTATTTTCTCTTCCATTCATGGCAAAGGGTTCACCTCTCCCAACCCCAACCCCAACCCCAGTGACCCATGATGCAGTGAGGCGGAGCAGGTCCAACAACGCCGACAAGCGCGACACATAGCTTACGGCTCGCCTCTCGTTAGCGCCAGTCAACAGCAGCCTGGAAAGGGTGGCAGTCAACACCGGCTGCCAGCCGGCTCTCGCAGAAAGATGGACCGCTAATCAATTGGCCTACCGACGTATCCCGAAGCAATTCACAAGTGTTTGCCTACAAAACAGCTGACAAAAAAGAAAAACGACTAGATGAACCATCAACTCCATCAACAAGGCTACCAAGGAGTTTGGTTGGTTAATACACTCTCAATTCCCATTACTGCCCACTGTCCAGGTGATGACTTGCATCTGGATCAGTATCCTTCTGCCAAGGAAGGGAAGTAAACCGAGGGACTTTCTTCAGGTGCCCACAGTGTCAGGTGCCTGTGAGGTGTTTCCTGCCAGTACCGAGGGGGAGGGAGGGGTCACACTGTTCGCTCTCCCGGCTCTTAGTCCTCCCACGCCAAGCCAGTTGTCTTGCGGTACAAGAAGACAGCCGGGTGGGTGGAGACGTCATTCGGCACGTCACCGTTGTGTGAAGCAGGGATAATAGGCCGAAGTCTAAGCCAGGATGGGTGAGTAAGAACCATATTAGAAACTCATATATATGACAAGCTTTTATTATCCAAAAGCGTAAATAAATGCACACATGAAAACAAGCGCACGTTCACAAAGATGCATTGAAATCCTCATCTGGGATTCCACCCAGTGAGACCCAACAACGCCCCGTGAATGGGTGTTCCATGGTGACAATGCAGGTCTGGCGCATTTCGGAGAAGCCCCATGATGCCAGCAAAGGCTGCATGGTAGGAAGATGGAGGAGAAGGCGGATAAAGGATGGGTGTAGAGACCCCGGCAAGACAGCAACACGGGAGGGCCCATCAAAATTTAATGACGTTCTATGAAGGCCTCACTGGTTGGTTAACTTATTTATACGTTATATATACGTATCCTACAGTACAAATGAGAGAGTGTGTCTGACCACAAGCGGAACATTGTGCTTCAACATAAAAAAAACCCACTTGAAAAACGTACATTCAAAAAAATGTCATGGAGACCGAGCGGTCGGCAAACCATCGGTAAACGGGCCGCAGCCGGGCTCTGTGTGTAGCTTGTGGTTCAGTGGAAGATGCTGGGAGATGCTCTGCTCAGACGCCACCTCCCTGGAGACGGAGTGGGAGAGACGTTGGGAAGGAGGTGCGGCCTGACACCTCAAAGCTGCTTTGTCTCATCCGTTTCTCCTGGTGCTGACTGTTCACGGAGAGGTGTGAAATGAAAGCCAGCAAAGATATATATATATATATAAATAAAATTTATGTGGACTGGTTCCCCCATAAATCCAGATCTTCAGTCTTCTCCGGCAACCACCCGGATTCCTCTCACGGAGATGTCCGGCACTCAAAAACATGGCAAAAGATGAATGCTCATGACTTTTCCAAATTCACTGCACCGGCAACGGTGAGTGACAGAAGGCCAGAAACCCGAATGGCAAAATGTCCGGGCCTCACTGAGCTCCGCTCCGCCTCCAGCTGTCCCGCCAAGGGCAGAGTAACTGCAACTATGCCTTAGGTGACAAAACAAAACCCCATAAGATGAATATTCCATGGTCGACCCTTGTGAGAGCCGGCCCTTCACGTTCCGGCGGTTGCGGATAGCATGCGGCTATTTCAGGCCGGACTTCTGTTATTTTAACGTTCCCCTGTCTGACCTTCAGCCCCAGAAGCGTGGAAAGGGGCTTTTCAGACCTTCCCTGAAGGCACAGCGGAGCCTATAAAGGCAGACTGTGGGGCTGCAAAGCCAGCAGAACAGGGGCTGAATTCCCCAGCTCCCAGTGGAATCTGTCCACCGGAGGCGAAGCAGGCCGGCAAGATGGCCGCCCGGGAAAGAGCAAACACAAGCAGGATTTCCGTGCCTCCTGTTCGACACGAGGGCGACAGGATTCCTCAGAGGAGCTCAAAGGGGGTGGGAAAGGGAGCAGAGATGGAAGATGTGTGAGCTGTTCCCCGGAAGCGGCACGACACTGAGAAATGGGCCAGTGAGTGACAGCGAGCCAGGCATCACCCTTGAGCCAGCTTCGGATGCTTTCTTACAGCAAGCTGTCACTGCCTGGAAGGACAGGCGGTCCCAGGGTCTGTAAGCACCCTCCTCGGCAGAGTGGCCATTTACAGGCAGTACCCCAGGTAGAACGCTGTTCCTTTGTATGCAAATGGAGATGACGGCATCTACTCATCACCCTTTATCTCCCCTTCCCTAGGCTTTAAGCCATCGGAATGAACCGGCAAAAAGTGAAAGAAGAATAAGCCTGTTTGTTTCTCCTGCAACCCAACATCTTAGGACGGTTCTTAGAAGCTGCCCACAGTTGACCAGGAGCAAAGGGGGTGAAGTGGCAGCGGACTGTCACGTCAGAGTAGGAAATGGAGTGAAGCCAGCATATTGCCCAGCGCCCCGGAGCAGCCGGACACGGGACGTCGAGCTCAGAATGTCCCAAGCTTCAGAGGCAGCTGCGGGATCCGTTTGGGTCGCCACATAGTGTCACAAACTTAAGACGAGTGAGGTACCGGGGACATAAACACACAGGAGGGGAGGGAAAGGTGCAGACACACTTCAAGCGTGTCGTCAGCCGTAACATCGCGATTTGTGATGGGGATGACAAAAACGGATCTCATTCCCGCTCCCTCACGAGCCGGAGCGAACTCTGTGCGTTACCGTTTGACCTCAAATCAGGCTCCATCATCCCCAGCTGGATCACAGCCTGAGAGAAGACAGCAGATTTTTTTAAAAATGGAGAGGTGCATTGTGGTACATCAATCAGTGCGGCCCATTTGCGGTGTCCAGAGCGGTCTGATTCATGATAGCCTGAAAGCTGACCACGGCACCAGATCACAGACGGCATGGCAGTTAAGGAACCGGGAGCGTGGACCTACAGCTGACCATGTGACACATTGGTCACCCCAAAGCGGAATGTTTGCTGCGTGGGTTGGGTTAATATCTACACACCAGTAGCCATCATGGCTGCTCTGCAGTGAGCCCAAACAGACAGTGGTCTTTTCCCTGGATTTCTCTGAGCACATTTAACGAGACAGAAGTCCAAAAAGACAGATTCAGTTCCTACACACAGTCATCACACCGAAACGGACCTGTTAGCCGACCAATCCGGCTCCTTGAAATGCTCCTCCACTGTCTGGGATTTCGCTCACACTTGCAGGAATTCGCATACAAATTCCGGGCTGCCCCAAAACAAGGAAACGATTTTCTCCCCAGGCTGGGGGGCTAAATATGTACTGTGGAGGACAAGCAAGTGGGTCAAGCATAGCCAAAACAAAAGACAATACAGACATATACACCCCCCTCAGGGCTCAGGTACGAGGGATGACAGGAATCGGTCTGATGCCATGTGCCATGTCATATATCCAAGGCCAAATCCAAAACAACACGAAACAATAACAGCACCCATCCCACAGTCCAACTCGTGCTCATATTCTGTCAG